TTAAAACTATTAGTTACATCCATGTCTTAAATAAAGTATGTTCACACTAGGCATCAACAAGCCATCGTCCATTTTTATCCTTGTAAATAATGTAGAAAGTATTTTTCTTTACCTTTAAGTAAAAATAATGATGAATGTATAAGAATAAACTGAGAATAACTTGATATAGTTCTTTCGTGTTTAAATAAAATATACTTAATTATACTGAAAGAGAACGTTATTTGATTTTTCTCACAACATATATTAACAATATTTATTATTTTAGATAATAAGAAATAGAATAGAGTCGAATTCAGTCTTTAAATACTATGTTAATTAATACAACGAAAAATATATTGTGCTGTACGTGCACTTGCGCTCGATATATAAATACGAGAAACCATAACTTATAGACAAATACATGAAAAAAATATATATACAGTAAAACCTCTCTATATGAGCAGTCGACGAAACGACCGATCGATTTTTGCTGGAAGTGAGCCTCTCTAACAAGGGCATCTCCCACTTCGGAGAGTGGGCACCGTTTTTTAGGCCATACTGTAGGTTAAACTACTCTTACATGGGCAGATATAGTGAATATATTTTAATCAGTACACTGTTCTTTTTCTTCTCGTCGCTTTTTGTTGTTCTGAGAATAGAAGAGAGAAAAGTTAGTTCGATGTAGCAAAGAAAATAACTCATCTATATATTTCTAATTGTGCCGTCAATGATAAAAAGAGAATAATTAGTCGTGGTATTTGACATTACTCTTTAAAATCATTGAGAAATGGCGTCGTGTCATTACGTTACACTTGATGAGAAGATCGCATTGATCAACGACTATGCCGATTGAACCGGACTATTGCAGTGCAAATTATGTGAGAAGTGTAAGGTATCAAAAGGTGCTATGTACAACATTCTTCAATGAATAGGCGAATACAAATACCATTTCCAATCGAACGCGAACAAAGGTATCAAACACAAACTGCAAGACGAGTCGGGTCACAAGATCGATGAAACCGTTTTCTCAGGGTGATAGACATCGGATAACTAGAGTAAAATATTGGACATAGTCAAAGGTCTAAAGACCGATTGATAATATATAAGTATGGGCGCCCTTTATGACGTAGCTTGCAGAAAACATATTTGTGATCAGTATCTGTAAAAAAAATTCTATAACGCGGGTACCTCCTTCAGGTGGGCGATTTGAAAAAGTCCGGTAGGTGCCCATCTAAGGGAGGTTTTACTGTATATTAATTTATTCTATCAAATATGTCAATTAAATCAAAATAATTATTATTTCAATCTAATTAAAAATTCAAAACAAGTAATCGAATTGAAATGATTGATAGTTAAAACAATTAAAAATTTTTTGTTTTCGTTTTTCTCAATTATCAACTTTTTAGAAAATATTTTTAATTCCTATACTAATTTCAACAGAAAAAAAAAAATTTTTTTAAGAGAAAGAAAATTCTAAATCAATATCATGAAAATTAACAAAACAATCAATCTAAAATTAAAAGAAAATCGAATATTGAATAATAACTATGTTCACGTGAGACATATAACAGATAAAATTGAGAAAATGAAGCTTATTAGAATTCTATCTGTATCACATTCATAGTTTTATTAATGAGAATCGACTAACAATTATAATGAATCTTGAATCCTAGAATATTCAGAGTACTATTAGTTCATTCTAGTTGTTATTGTAGACAGAACGGAAAAGTATTAACTTACAATTCTTTTCTTTTTCTTGTTTTATCAAGAATTTAAAATGATTTTTCTGGTTATTCCAGTATTCTTTGTTCTTTTAATTATACATAATCATATCTACCTAGTAAGTCTTTTATTTTATAGTCGATTATATTTGTATTTTTGATATATTCTCTTATGAATGATGACTAGAACGAATAGAAAAACAGGATTTCAATTGGTAAAACATTTTTCTTTTAGATGAAGTATCTTTCTAGTTTTCATTAAAGTTTGTCTTTTGAAAAACCAAGATTTCTCAAAGCTAGTTTTCTAAATTCTATCGCAAATGTTTGTTAAATAAGCTTATCTGATGATAGAAAGAATTTTTAGCAAAATGAGAGATTTCCGAGGTTTTCACAACTTTTCTTTATCAAACTGTACTTATCTTGCGACAGGCACAGAAGCTATTTAGTAATTTTAAAAATTTCTTATGTTTGAAACTTTGGTTTTTCTCTTGTATTCAGTACAATTTGATGAATATGGGATAGGGTATTGCATGTTTTCTCAAGGAATAAAGAAATGTAAGAAACAAATTTCATAACTTTGGTTATTTCAAAAAAAATCGAACTTATTCAATAACTTTGATAGATTTTGCATCATTTTTATCTGACGAAATTCATTTTTTTATTCGAAAAATCAAAATTATCACATTAGTTTCACCCTACATTTTTATTTGAATCATCAATTTTATTACTACATTCAAGATAAACTAATTTACTCTTCTTTTTTGAAAGAAAAATAATTTTAATCGATAACTTTAATGTAAAATACATCATGAAACCTTTTTCTTTCGAATATACATAATGAAACAACGCTGAACTTAAATTTAATATGTACGTTTGTTTTTACAGATACTTCTATTGCAAAAATAGAATGTGCAAGAACAACAAGGGTGTTTTGTTCTGCTTTTTATACTATAGGTTATTAAATCTAAGCCTATACATATTTGTTACTTTATAGTGATTATAGAATGAAATGAACTTTGCAAGAGTTTGTCGCGTAGTTTTTCGAATGATAATCAATCTGGACTTTAAGAACAGTTCAGATAAAGTTATTACATTAGAGTCTGCAGAATATTCGAATGAAGAAAAACTACACTTATTATTTCATGTTTTTCATGGTATATGACTCTAGTGAAAGTGCAACGCTTATAATGTCAATAATTTGATTATTTTTGAATAGTTTTTACATAGTGACTATGATGCAAAATTTCTCATTTTCGTGATTTGAGAATTTTCAAAAAAAACACATGCACATTTTTGCCTGTTTCATCATGAAAAATTTCACTTTTTTAAAATTTCAGTCATCATATTTATGAATTTTTGGATTCGTCCACACCCACACCATATCCTACCAAATTTTTTATACACACAATTCATTCATTCAGGTAAATAAATCATGATTTTTTCCTTCTATTTAAACAAATATCGATAGGAATCGATACTTTTACAATCAGAGAGTAAAATGACAGAAGAGACTAGCTAACTAATCTTCTAACGTTCCGTTTTCGAAAAATAATTGAGAGATTATATGTTTGTCTATTACTACTATTTCGTTGTTGTTCATTGTTTGAAGAAAAACTCATCGATATCAAAATGACAGAGAAAAAATTTCTTCGCAAAATAAAACCGAATATTTTCATGGTAACTAAACGTAACCATGTCGCAATTTTTCTCAATTACAAGTCATTATACGATCACTTTAAAGGTATATTATAGTTGCTAAAAAAGACACAATAAGAGATCAATATTGAAAATGTTGCACTGACAAATACATCTAAAATCAAGGATATGCGTCGGTGTATCGGAATGCAAGAACACCCAAACGCAAACCCACATCGACCAATTTTCGTAGACCTATGTATTAGAGCTACGACCAGATCTGAAGGCGGCCTACCTACCTGTCTGTAACGGGCATACATCTAGACGTTCATGCTGATCCTTACAACAAGCCAAGCAGGCTGCATGAATATCATCAGAGACTTGGTCTGTGTATTTCATATCAAATTTCTAACTCATACATTGAATGCGTTCCAAACAAATAGATGCAGCTGAATTAATTTTCATTGTTGACGTGTAAATGCTATGAATTACGTAAATATTTCAAAATGTATATTCACGATACTTATGCATAAACAATGAAATCCATTAGAATTCTGGAGAGGTCATTATCGCCAGTTTGCATATTTGTCGTTACTTTTTAGTTTTCTTTTTTTAACCTCATTTTATTCAGCTAAGATTGAATAATCTTTTTCTACTACAAGTTTAGCAGTTACTAAACGTTGTTTCTCTCCTTATTGTAACACTGTGAACGATATTTTTGTACGCCGGATTCATTTAAGATTTTCTTGAATAACGACCAAATTTTTACTTAAAATTATTATCTTTCAGTGTATTTATTTTTCGATTTAACACCATTGTTCAGATAAAAACTGTTCAATCAACAGTAAAATCTTTCTTTATAAACATCTCTATAATACAAATGTCCCACTACAGTAAAGACTCTAAATTCTCATTAAGTGTTATCTTGCTTGAAATCAACTGCTTCTTCATGAATATACTCTAATAATAAATTGTGAATGCTTTTTTGGAACTCTACCAACCAGAAAAATCTGCTTATAGTGAATGTTTCTTTTTTCTTCTTCTATTCTTCAATGCTGTTGTGTACACATAACAAAGAAACAAATTTAAGCAGTGAACACTTTTGAATATTGCATTGGACATTCATATTAGAGTTTTTACAGAACTCGTCGAAATTGATTCCAATGATTTGTTGGATTTTTCCGGTAATTAATAATTAATTCTATGCTATTATTTTATATGATATTGGCATGAAGCCAATAGACAGGTAGCCCAAGTCGAACAAATAAGATGAGAAGTACAGGTATGCTAGACCGGCAAAAAAATTTCATTATTGAGTCCTACATATATATATATATATATATGTTCGAATTTTATTGTCAAAATTGTATAGCAGTTCACTTACATTGACTTCAAACATGAAGCTTCATTGACAAAAACAGGTTTTACATGAAATATAATAATAAAATAAGAATATGATTTACAAAATCTTGTTTTAATAATTCAGCAATCTAGAAAATATGTTTGTGACATTGATACAACGATACAAAAGCAACAAGCGAGTTAAGTATAAAAGCAGTAGAAGAATATGACAATCGTCAAAATCGATGAAACAGGCCATTTATCCTTTCTGTTATTCATTGTATAGTGCTAAGACGAAGGAGAAAATCGCTCAAGTTTCAATTGTTAATGAATGCAAGCTAGAAAATAATAGGATAAGTTATTGCAATTATTAGAAAATGTTTTTGACAAGAAGAACATTACCAATACAGCAATTAACATCAGCACTGTTGTCGAACGTGTTCTACTTGTCTTTGATGAGGCTTCCGATGATGTTGTGCGATCTGTTGTTGTTGTTGCTGTTGTTATTGTCATTGCCATTGTTGTTGTTGTTGTTGTTGTTGTCATTGTCATTGCTGTTGTTGTTGTTGCTGTTGTTATTGTCATTGTCATTGTCATTGTCATTGTCATTGTTGTTGTTGTCGAAGTCGACATTGTCGTTGAAGTTGTACCTGTAGTAACTTCAATAGAAAAACAATGAACTGCAATTATTGAAACATTTGCTACTCACTAAAACCATCAAGTATTTGAAATTTCTGTACTCGACTATTGATTTGATCGCTAACGAATAGAGATCCATAGCTATCAAATGCCAATGCAAATGGCATAGTCAGCTTATCAAGTGCTGTTCCGCTTAACCCAGTACAAGCCACGATACATTCACCAGAAGTCGAATTTGGTGGCCAGCGAAGAATTCGGTTGTTCCCAGTATCCGCTATATACATGTATTCATTCGAGTCAACAACAATTCCCATTGGATACAACAGCTGAGATAAACTATTACCGATAACTCCAGTGCCTGCCACTGTCACACCATAAGAAGCTCCTTTATTCCATCTTTGGATTCGATTATTCCAACAATCCGCAACGTATAATGTTCCAGCTGCATTGACATACACTCCATATGGTCCAGACAGCTGTGAAGCGCTACTTCCCTCTGTATCATTTCCAGCGACTACCAAACCAGGCATACCACTCGATGAGTTCGATGGATAGCGAACAACTCTGTTGTTGTTAGAGTCACTAACAAACAGGTTCTCATTACTGTCGACAAATAAACCGTAGCTCTGGCCGATTGTTGATGTATTTAGAGTGTTTCCACTTACACCTTTGATTCCAGCAATTGTGATTGGATTAGTTTTATTTTTGAATAATTTTACCACTCGATAATTGAACATGTCTAAGACGTAGATATACTTTTGAGTGACAAAAACATTAGCAGGATAAGTAAATAGAGGCATTGAGTCACTTCCAGTTTGAATGATATCTATAGGCGTAGTTGAATTAGGTCCGATTAAGACAATTCGATTATTAATATAATCGGCAATGTAAAGAATATTATCATTTGTAATGCTTATTCCTTGGTTATAATAGAGAGCAGATAGAGACGAACCAGATGTGCCATTTGTCAAACCTGCGACCGTGGTGGCATTTTGAGCCCAATGTGCAGAAGGTAATAGATTTTGTTGTGCTGAACATACATAAAAGTGTCGACATCAACTTGTATTTTTAAAAAAAAAGTACATCAACATTTTCTATTATTTTATTCAACGTCTATGAATAATGAAGTGTCGATAAGCAATAGAAAAGCATGTCGATAGATGTTTCTGAATGAAACTTTTAACATTCGTGTTTTAAAATATTTTTTAAAATTCTTTTCATTTAAATTTATGAATAAAATTATGATTGTTTTTTCTATTTTGATGGAAATAAATGTACTAGAAATAAGGTTATCAAATCGTTCGTTGTGCTTTGTTTTTGATATCCTTAGAGTTGTTGCAGTAATAATCCTTAGATGAATTAGACAAATCTAAAGTTTATGACTAGACGTTAGTCACATTTTCATATTTATCATTTCATATCTTTTTATTTTATTTTTTCTAGACAATTTATTGCTTTTTTTCCTTCTATCGACCGAGCAGATATAAGGTTGAAAGGGAGTGTAGTCAAAAATTTGTGTTCTTCATATAAAAGAACTTCTATATTAGAATAAGTAAATAAGTTACTTGAATTTTTCTATATAATATATCGTGATATAATTTCCAGTTCTATAGAAAGAAACTGATGCTTTCGTAACACAAGGTGCTTCAGATCCTTAACTAGATAGCAGATATTAATGTTGGACTTTTATATTGACATTTAGACAAAAACATATAATTCGTATTGTAATCTATTTTAGTTTTAATAATGTTGAAGAATATTTTTATACTTTTAAAATGATGAACACATATTGTTTTCTTTTTGACATGAAGCATCATACAATAAAAACTAAACGAAGAGGACTTTCATATTATCATGCAGATATTAGATTAGCTCTCATGTGTTCATTTTGTTATATCTAAACTCTTTTTCAATGTGAAGAAAATCTAAATGATAATTTTTGATAATTGAATAAAGATCATTGTCAAAGGTGATGAAATAGTTACTAATAAAATAGAGATCTATATTGGTTAAATCATTTTATATTTAAGTACTTATGAGTGTGAGAATCTCATAAACGCATAGAAATGTTGATGTAATTGACAATGAGTAAAAAAGAAAATATTGTTCTTACTAACTATGCATTGTACGAATAGTATCATAAATAACCAAAATCCATTAGTTGTTGTGGACGAGGTACATCTGAACATTTTATGTTCACACTACATTTATCGTAAAAAAAGGTCGATTAGATAATATTTTTGTTTTTGTTAAAGAAAAATTTCTCGATGAAGAATTTCATAAGAAAATATACGTAGAATGTCACCCAAAAGTTATTATTGTGAATGAAATCGAACATCTTGTCATGTTCTTTTGCGAAAATGAATTGATTTTCACACTACTAATGAGGAAAATATTCGCAGCTCATATTCATGAAGAAAATCTTTACGATTCATAGTTTCAAAACATTACTGGATGATTAAATAAGAAAAAGAATTTGTTTTTTTTTTTTCGAAAATTTTACATATAATCTTGATCATCTTCATGATCTAAATGAATGAATATAGATAAATTGTTCGATTAATTTTTGCGACTATTCGCACATCGCCTCATATTTATCTCAACTTTTCATATTTTATTACTTTGATGTAAATTCGTACTTTGAACTATAAAAGAAGAAAATATATTCAGAAAACTGTTAATGTATCTTATCTATTAAAGGATAATTATGACTAACTATCGTTGTAATGATGGTCGCATTATTAATTTTGATCTTCTTTTAATTTCTGGATAATTATTAATGATTTATTTAAGATATATTGTAGATGAAAAACTAATGTCTATTTCAAATAAAAAGATCGATAAGTTTCTATAGAAATAAGATCGAGCGCTATGGTTTTGACTATTGCAAAGAAGAGATAAAATCGCATCTAATCATATATTATAGGTTCTCCTAAGCTGTTTTTTTGAAATGTTTTTAATCAAATTTATAAAAAAATTTCCGAAAAATGGTTTCTTTTAACATAAGAAAGAAAACAACAAGGTAACTTTTTTTCACCCCAATTACTTGAAAAATCGGCCAATAATTTCGACTAAAAGACTTATCAGTTCTGAATAACTAAATCAAAAAAAATCTGAAGTTTGCATAATTTTTTAGATCTTTCATGGGTCATTCAAACGCACATTCGATACTTGAAAGTTGACCATAGGCATGTCACAATGTACGTTCGTTTTCAAAAAACTCGGTTGAAAACCTTAAAAAAAAACCAGCTTAACAAATCTTCTAGTCTACGATTCGATGCGCCTTCATCTTATCTTTCTAATCTAAAGATGAAAACAGAAGTTCTCTATCTTATTTTGTAGCAAAAGTTATTATAAAGATTTCAGCCCGTCGTTTTCTTTTCTGAAATGAACATTAGTTCATTTCTTATTACATAAGAATATATCGAACATAGAACAGTTTCATAAATAGATTTTCCCTTTCTAACGTTAAAAGTGCGAAAATAAACTGAGAATAATTCTAGTAAATATGAGACGAGATGAAAATAATAAAGATAAAGAATTCATCGATTGAACTGTTTAGTCAATTGAAGGTATCAAGTTAAACTAACTCATATATAGAAACAATGAAAACATTATTTTTTTTTTATTGAACTTCATGGTGACATTTTGGAATTATTTCAATAAAGATTTTTGTCATGGATATGAACATTGGACATTTTCTTCATCAGTAGAACGAAAATCAACTCATATGCTTAAAAGAAGACGATAAGATATTCGATTTCTTTCATAATACTAACTTTGGATCATTTTATCACTTTATATTCTGATATATTTTCGAAAAACTTTAGTCTATTCTAAAGAGAATATGGGAGAGAATGAAACTATAAAGAGTAATTAATGTGATAAAGATATTGTTGTTATATTTTATATAGGAGAAAATTTACATGATGTAATTGATTTTATGATGAGTATCGTGCTGACGACGATTGTTTTTTTTTAGTGGCAATTTGGTTGTTCACACTACATTAGTTGCCTCATTTGGTACATATTTTTGTTCGTTGATTGACTAGGTAAAGTGATGATATGGAAATAGAATTTCAAGTGAGAGGAAGCAAAACACTAATACTAATATGTACTTCAATAATAAATAAATTTTTTTGCTCTTTCTTGTTGCAAGATATTGTTGAATGAGTTTGTTATTCATATCACTAACAACAATCATGTAACAAATTCAGTAACTACTATAGTTAATTTATATTTTCCTATTATCATCAAAGTAATTTTTTGAGAAATAAGAAAATTGAGTCGATCCAGATATAAAAGAATAGATTTGAACTATTGTCATTTTTCTACTATCTTGTAGTTGCATTTCTGATTGAAAATTTGACAAATATGATTTTTTTAAATGTTTCATATCAACAACGTTTTCTTCATCTACAATCTAGAGTATGTTATATGGTTGTTGAGAGGGAAAAACTACACAATATTATTGCATTAAATGTAACGAAAAAATTTAAATTAGAAAATAATATTTGTCACTCGAATAATTTGGAAGAACACTTAAAATATTAATTGTAAATTGTTTTGCTTTGTTTCAAAACAATGATTTCTCAAATCAAGACAATGTATTTTGGTGATTGATGTTTGGATGTTGAACATAAAACTCGTTGTAAATTGTTCATAAGAAATAGTATCGTTCTCAACAACTATCTTTAATAATTTCAGAGAAATAAACAGGAATGTTATTTTCTTGACTATCTTGATATTTCGAAGCTATTCCTGATCAGATTAGAAAAACAAAGGTACTATTCATTTTTGGCTGTTAGATTGATATTGACAGATAGGAGAAACAACTTACAAGCAATAGAACGTCATAATGCGTATTGAACGTTCAAATGGTGGACTCTGCTAAGTGAACACTAATCATTCGTGATTTCGTTCATTCAATCTATTAAGCTCTTATTCACCATCAATGAACGAGTACGATATTCGAAATGAAGGGATTTCAAGACGTACATTTATTCTCCTTCTCACCTTATCTATTGTCATACTTATCGTCTATTCATCTCAAGTGAACGTTATTCAATCGATCACTGTCGTACACTCAATTGTCGATGTGAAAATATTACGATTATGCAAAAAACATTCATCTCACTTTATTCTACATTTCATCAAGTATGCGTCAGTGATTTTCTAATGAATAACTGGTCAACACAAATCAGTGCAGCTGATTGTCCTTTTATAAGCAATGATTTTAGCTACACAGGAGATTCGTTCTTTCAAATACTCGCGGGTTTTTATAGTTTAACCAAGGTGAACCTAAATAATTCGTTGCTCATTTTGAATTCAACTTGTTTCATCTCGCCCACAGCCTTACACGATGATGCTTTTAGCCAAAGAAGTAAGGCAGCCATGACTAGTTTCAAAACGACAGTTGTTGAGACATTTGTTCAATCATTCAATATTATCTGAGAGATTATCCAACCTAATCAATGGCAAAGAACAATTGATATCAAGTTCTTTGACATTGTCTTGTCTCACACATTCGATTCTCAATCAGACGAATGAAACCATATTAATAAATATATCTCGTTGTCTACATAGAGTGTTTTTTGATTGAAACTACTCGAAGTTCAACATTGGAGTGTTTTCTAGAATAAATCAAGTTTGGAACAGATTGAGTTAACTCTTTGTTTTACTCTTGCATTCAATGTGGCAGTGCTTGATTCATCCTTACCTAATTGATTCACTGTCAAAAATAGATACACCATTTTGGAGCCCATATTCGGAAAGAACACAAAAGTTTGGTCCCAACCTCTAGGCTTTTCATTCTCCTAGATTACTTTCAACAGAGTCAAAAATGGTCAAACATTTTTTTTTAAAAAGCTTTTCAATGACTCATTATTATCTATAACTAAGGAGAAGATTTTAAAAAAAATTAAGTAGTTAAGTTTGTCTACTTCAACATTTATTTTATCTGATAATGATCTTCGGATCCACTCATAGTTATTGGAACTTTCATGTTTGAAATTCCATTCAACATACCTTTATAAGCTCTGCGATTCTGAATATTCTATTTTCAGTAGTCATCATGTCAATAAAAGAAAACCAATCAACTTTTCTTGGAAGATTTGTTTTGCTATTGTGAATAAGGTTTTAACCAATATCTAAGAGAAAACCATTAGTCTATCTATTAAAAATCAATATTCTCCTCCTAATTAAATAGTTGTCACTGTACTAGATTCTATTTATCACATACTGTAAAATGAAATCGTATTCACTTTCAAGTGATTATTCAATGCAATGTTGACTAGTCAAATAGCATTTTTCTCAATAAGAACGCATCATCAAATCATTATTTTTTGTAATTACTACCCACACACCAATCATTTTCAATAGGATAATCATTCAGCATCAACAGATAAATTGCATACTGCTCTTACACAATCGAGGCAATATCTAATGAGTGATATCAATCTTATACAAAAAACAAAATAATTAACATATTTTAGCATTACATATTTACTATTCAGAACGATGTACGATAACCAACAGTGTTCTAATAAATAAGAAATAATTATTTTCAAACAACAAAAAAGAATTTGTAATTAACTATTGAAGTGTTCTTTCTTCAAACTCACTAAAATAATATATTATTCTTTTTAATTTAAAAAATTTCTTACTCGTCTGGAAAACATTAAGACTACATTTTCTTCTTTTTGGAATTATATAATACGTTCTAGAATGTGAGCAATGGCAACGCCGTTGAAATCAACTGTTAGAAAATTCATAATTGTCAGATTTTTCAATCAGAAGTACCAACACAAAAACATCGAAAAATGACGAGAGCTGAGATGTGTTCTTGTCTCTCTGCATCGACTCAATGTTCTTATTTCTTATCAACCTACCTTGGCGACAATAGAAAAAAAGAAAGCAACTATAATAGTGTTTGAATTTGTTATGCGATTGTTATTAGCAGCATGAATAATAAGCTCATTTACAATGTCTTAAAACCAGACTGACGAGGAAAGCCTCTCAGATGATCAATCGCTTTTTCGTAGAAACATACATGACTGTATGCAGTTCATTGTGCTGATTCCGAATATCAGAGCCTTAGCGGTCCTTATACCCTTTTAGGTTCTCTATCACGACTGTAAAACCCCTTCTGATAAGCATCTTTCTCATCAAATTCAATCTTTTAATCAGTCCGCCACGTACCACTAGACAAAATATACACAGAAATACTTTTTTATAGACACTTCAACCTCAAGTTTCAAATGCTAAGATGGACCATGAGGTAGACAAAAACTAAATGTACAATAGTGACCTATTGGGTTTTATATTTTTCGTATAACGAAAAGATAAAAAAATAATTTTATCTTTTTTATTACATTACAGAATCTCGCTCAATTTATCGCTTTTTTGAAAATATACCCTCATAGTGCCAATGTTTTATATTTTGAGAAATTAGCATACGTGTTTTCTATTTCTTGTATTGTTATATACTTTTCTGAATACAATACAGCTATGATTAATTTATGAATATATAATGATTAAAGAAGAAGAAATGTTAGTTTACTATTTGTAGTCAATATATGAATACTACTTTACTTTATAGTTTCGTATTTGAAGCTTAAGGTTGATATGTCTATAAAAAACGTATTTCTGTATATATTTTGTCTGGTAGTACTTGGTAGACTGATTAATATATTGAATTTGATGAGAAAGATGCTTATCAGAAGGGGCTTTACAGTTGTGATAAGAACTTAGAAAGATCTAAGGGCCGTTAACACCCTCATATTCGAAATCAGAGTAGTGAATTGCGTACAGTCATGCATGTTTCTACGAAAAAGCGATTGATCACCTGTGGGACTTTCCTCGTAAGATCAAAATGTAGCGTCTGTTGTTGTCGCTTTGAAAGCCAGCACAGGTCTCATTGAGATTAGGATCTTTCATGTGGATTTTTGGGCATCAATAAAGATCAGTCGACTTTACTAGAATCTAAGCGGCGGATCATTTCGACGGCGTAATGCCAACGAGCTTGATCTACTCCGTTTATTTCGAGGAACGAGAACCATATTACATATATAGACTAAAAAAATACTAAAATTCCTCCTATTAATTATCAATCTAAAAAGACTTTAAATATTGCAGTTCCTATTAGTGCACACTACAGTTTAACTTGCCGAACTGCTTATGTCATATATATTTTACGATGCTTAATAAACAAATGTACCTAATGGTAGCATTATACGTTTGATCTTTCTTTGTTCTGTCCGCACCAGAGATGCTCATTGGGTGAATTTTTCCACTCGATCCTGTCCTGCTGCACTGGATTGAACAAGACAGGGCAAGGTACCCTGTAGAATCAATATACTATCACACTACGTTTTCAATTTAGTTCTACAGCAGCAGTGTTTGCACATTATATCATAGAAAATTGTTTCATATAAATCCTCTTTACAATATAAATAGCTAACAGTTCAACTAACAGAAAATGAGTATAACTGAAAGACAAGAAAAATAAATAACATTATATGTGCAAGATATGTGGTAAAGCCAAGAAAATAAGAAATACAAATATACTTTTTTGATGATTATTACATTAATTTTTTAAATTTCTACTATTTTCATTCGAATCTACATCTATAGAAAACAACTCTAAGTATAAGCTGATAGTGCTCTCGGTAATTTTTTTGGGGTTTTTGACGTACAAAAGCCCCTAAAAACACTTTTTTTTTTTTTATTAATTTTAACTGGTAGCGATAAAAATTGAACCAATAATATTGTAGAAGAATAAGAAGATGTCACCAATCTATTTAATAAAGAAAAATCATCATCATTTATAAATAAAACATTCGAATACTTTCTTCGCAATCATATCAAATTTTCAACAGACATATGAATCAAATTAAACGAAAATTAAGTTTTAATCAATCATCGAAAGAACAGACAAAGAAATTACGAAGTAAGTTATTCGTGTAATAAATAGACATTTGATTTGTATTTTCATAATAATAGATAAATTTGATCGAAAAATAACTTCTATTGAAAATTTATCGAATGAATTCTTTTATGAAATATTCGATTATCTCGATGGTTGTGAAATTTATCAAACATTTTCAAATCTTAATCATCGCTTTCAACAACTTCTCAATTCTTCATCTCTTCGATTTAAAATAAACTTTCATCATTCAACATCAATAGAAATATTTATGAATAATTATAAACAAATTATTCTTCTTAATAAAGATCAAATATTTTCAATTCATTTATCATTATCAACACATAATAATCAAATTATCTCATCGCTTAACATTGATTCCTCATTTAATCGTCTTGAATCTAGGGTACTGCAAAGTGGTCCCGGTCCCGGGACCGGGACCGGGACCGGGACCAAAATTTTGCGTTTTACCGGGACCGGGACGGGACCGGGACCAAAATTTTGTTTTTTACCGGGACCGGGACGGGACTGAA